GGTTCACCAACATCAGAGTGGTGGTCCCTCAGACTCAGCTGTGAACTTTGTTAAGACAAAATGACCAGAACACGGGAGAACTACTTGTACCCAGAGGATATCAGGACCTGTCCATCTTTTTGGATGTGTCATTTTACAGACACAGCATACTCACCAACATACATAAACAGACCATTTATAAAGTCTAATCACAGGACTAGCGGCCTCACAATTCTTACAGAAACAACTTTTACCAATAAGTGCTTCCTTTCTGTTTAGCTATAAACGTACTTACATCAACATCAAAATGAAAACTTTTATTATTAAATTCAAGCCTAAAGATTACTAACGAAGAATGCATGTTGAATTAAAAATCAAGCTTACTTTTGAAATTATTCCTAGCACATTTCCTATTCCAGGAACCTATAAGACAGCAACAGTCATCATATAACGTGGATAACTGTATTCAGGTCAGGCTGTATAGAGGATTTATAGGAACAGTCAAAGCGACAACGCGCAGTGATATAGCCTCAGCTGGGTAAACTGGGTTTGCTCGAAGTCACTGTCTGGTTGATAACGAGCCCAGAGGAAGGATATTCTGCAGTCGTTTCAACAGCAGCGTCTTACCAACCCCCGTAGCCCCCAGCAGCAGACACATTTCCACGCCACTGGTGACAGCAGCCGCACCGTGATGAGAATCGCCGCCTGTTTATTTAAAGACCATCATCGCCGCTCACAACCCCACCAGACCCCATGGAGGCCAACCTCGCTCTGATAGGTCTACGGAGCTGTCAATTAATCCATTCTAAATGGTAATTGGTCAAACCGGAGGTTTCCATGGTTGTCGCTTCAGCTTGAAAGTAGCAAGGGATTGTGGGCTATGTTGGAGAGGGAATCGGAGGACCATTGTTAACTTTCCGTGTTTGGCAAAGGAATTTCTGTACCAGTTCATACATAGTCGGAAAATGTGTACTTTGCTCATGCACATAACGCTACTATATAACATTTCACAGTTACCATTTTTTATAAGTTTTTTAATCAATCTCACATTGTCAGACGAGTTATTATTTTGCAGAGTGCGGTGGCAAAGCTGTTCCTTCAATATCTCATCATCTATACATTACATCATCATTTTTATACGTAATATGTTTAGCTGTAATAATAATAATAATAATAATAATAATAATAATTGCTTACACTTATGTAGGACTTTTCTGGACACTCCACTCAAAGCACTTTACAGGTAATGGGGATCCCCTCCACCACCACCAATGTGCAGCCATACCTGGATGATGCGACGGCAGCCATAGTGCGCCAGAACGCTCCCCACACATCAGCTCTCAGTGGGGAGGAGAGCAGAGTAATGTAGCCAATTCATAGAGGGGGATTATTAGGAGGCCATGATTGGTAAGGGCCAATGGGAAATTTGAC